TAGGCCCAATGAAAAAAATATATCATCTTTTTCTTAAATTTTCCTAGCTGAATTGAAAAATATATAAGCACCAGAGTAACCACAATATTTGAAAAGTAATGAGCTACATAGTCACCGAAACTCTCTTTCTTATAGCTATTTTTTTTTTTGAGGTTTGGTTTAATAATCCATAAAAATTATGAAATTTGAAAACTAACCCATGTTTTTAAGTTTTTGAAAACTAACCTTTTTCACTATTGAAAGATAATAATTCTTTTTAAAATTTTAGAATTTATAGTTATAAGAAAATACTTTGAAATAGATTGGATAAATTGTTGACCACAACTACTTTAAATTACTTTCAAACTAGCACCAACTATATTGTTTTTGTCATTGGGTGGCTGTAAAGATTAAAATATAGTAGAAATGTAAAATCGATTTTTAATCGAGCCTGTAAAGATATATCATCAAGTTGAAGTACTAATGTACAAGATTTTACATCAACAAACATTCCATCAATTGCCACTAGAAGGAGATCTGATGCATTTGCTAGAATCATCATTGACTCGTGTCGCTTATGATTGTGAATGAATTCCACCATTATTTAATTATATGTTGTTTATGTTTACATTTTAAGATATTTTTCATTATTTTTGGGGATCAAAGACTACAACTCTCTTTCTAAGTATGGATAACACAAGACTATTCCTTATACTAGAACGTAAAAGTAAATCAATCAATTATTTATTATTATGCAAACTATAAGAACGTCGGTAGGCCAAAACAAATGTGAGCTTAATTTATCAATGATCAATTATTCATGAGAGACTAAATCAAATGAACTAACATTACATAACTTGTATACAATTTTTTGAAGTTCATCATTCTTAATCTTTTCACAATTTTTTATAATTTTATATTTTGTATGTAATCTTTTCCTCTTATAATTGATCATGTGAAATGATATCATTTTTTATTTTGTAAATATTGTATAGTAGAAGTAATTAGAATTAAAATCATTCTATATATTTGAGTTTAGATTATTTTGATAATCTCAGTTACTAAAGAAAAAGTTAGTTTTCAAAATTTTATGAATATGGGTTAGTTTTCAAATAACACAAAAATTTTATAATATTTTTACAAATTTCCTTTTTTTTAACTACTCTTCCTATCTAGTTGACGTGTCAAAGTTGTAAATCATGTGTTTCCCAAGCATTTAAATTAACTTTTCCCACTATACCTTACTTAGTCATGACATATCCTGTTTTTTGTTTTTTCGTCACAGTCATGTCATTGTTGGATTTTGTGATTAAGAACAAGAAACGTGAAGTTACTCAGAATATCAAAAGAAATATTGAAAAACCAAAACTTGTTTATTGTTCTGAATTGATCGAATAAGAAAACTATTTCTCCTCTAGGCATACACCCATTATAGCTTAAAGTCTTAACATTCTTCTAACAAAAGAAATTGCCTTATTCTAAATAAAAACTAATTAACTATTTCCTTTTTCTATATTTCTATTGTATAGAAACGTGATTTCCTTTTTATGTTTCACGTGCTTGGCACATGGGTCTAATTAAACTCATCTTCTTCTCTGATGCAGATAATTGATCACTCATTTTCAATCCCTAGATTCCCAATTTTCTTCTTCAATCGATACTTCTTCTTCACTTTCAAGCAGAGGAGACAAGCTTATTCCAACAGTCATATCCTGTTATTCAGTCTCTGTCGCAAGAACATCATGTGACACAATATGTGCTGGAGCTGCATGTTCGTAACTATCACGACCACGTTTTGCAGTGTTTACATGACCTCCCACTCTCCTTTTTCCAATTCAAAATACGATATTTAGAATTTAAGGACTCTAAAACATGGCTACGGAACAAGTCGTTGCTACATAGCTACAAAATGACACTTTCATAATATCTCATAAGCACCATGTTGATTAAGTCAATGTCGAGGAAACTC